TCAGAGGCTGCCATTTGTTAGTTAGTTTCTTTTTTTTTTTTAGATTATTTGTTAGTCGACATTTTCATTTATTTTTCGATTTTTTAAGGATTTTATCTTAATTTGTAAATATTTTTGATGATTAGAGTGAATTATCGTTATCATAGTGTGTATCCTAGTTTTTCCTACATCTCTATTAGACATTTTAACACATTTATTTTTCGATTTTCAAGCATTTTATCATAATTTTTGTTCTAAATTTTTGTGATTATGGTGAATAAAAGATTATTTTTATTTATTATTATTATTATTATTATTATCAACATCATCATCATTACTATTATTATTATTATTATTATTATTATTATTATTGGTAATTGTTAACTCGTTAACTTCCAACTCTTTGTACATCATTCAACTAAAGATGACTACATTCTGTTGAAACAATGCGTCTAATGTTCTGTCAAATCAAAGTTTTGTCGTATTCTTTAGTACTATTATATTATTATTGTTATTATCATTATCATTATTATTATTATTATCATGATAAAATGCTTGAAAATCGAAAAAAATGTGTTAAAATGTCTATTAAAAATGTAAGAAAAACTGGAGGATACACACTACGATAACGATAATTCACTCTAATCATAAAAAATATTTACCGACAAATTAAGGTAAAATCCTTAAAAATTATTATTATTATTATTATTATTATATCTCCATGAGCTCCCTTGGCGTTTTCTCAGATGAGTGCTCTACGTTCTTAAACAAGATGAATGACATAGGCATTGACAAAAAGCAGCAACTTTACATAATCAAGAAAATGATAAATATAGCTATTAGAGCAACATGTTACGTCTTTTGTTGTAGAAATAGGAATTGGGACAACCCAGATTTCATGCAGTTTTGATTTTTGTGTGTGTTGAATAAGCCAATCTCAAGCAGCATTTGTAAATTGCCCATACGTAGTGAGATTTACAATTGTACATTTAAAAATACAAATAAACTTGGACTGATACCGGGGGTAAAGATAAAAAAAGTTTAAGGGCATTGTTCAATCGACATTTCTGAATAAAGATGACGACAAAAGCAATCTGAGAACTTTTACTCTTCTTCGTTTACAGAAAAGTTGTCAGAAACACAAAAACTCCGCTGTTACAAATGTTATTCACCAGAATCATGGGATAACTGCCGTGAAAATCTAACAGCAGTTGAGTGCACTCGCCAAGGTGACATCTGTTACAAGATAAAGCGAACAAGCGGGGAGGGATCCCAAAGCAAAAACCTGAAAGTGATTTACGCCAAGGGTTGCAACATGCCTAACGCATGCTCAGGCGAGGAATGCAAAGAAAACAACTGGCACTGCGAAGTCTCTTGTTGTAACACAGACTTCTGTAACGGAACTGTCCAAATGTCAGGAAATTTCCTTCTTATTATCGCATCCTTAAGTCATGCCTTTGAACTCATTTTTTATTTCTAAGGTAAGGTAAACCGGGTATAACAGCGTATTTCGATGGAGTTTCATCAAACTAAGATCAAAGAAGACCACAATGGCCAATCAAAACTCTTCAAAATATCACAAGGAGCCAATAAGAACTCAAGCCGCAAAAACAGTCACACCGACCAAAGTGTTGAACAATGCAACTCCTGATTTCTTTTCTTTTTCTTTTTCTGTTTTTTTTTTTTT